TAAGATAGGCAGGCCAGGGCACAGCCAGCGCTGGGCCTATAGAAAGGCCAGGAGAGCCACCTTGTACAGTTTTACAGGTTATGTACTGCACCAAAGTCTACAAGAAGAAAGGGGTTTGCCCAGAGGAGCGAGCTACTTTCTGTTCCCCACAAGGCGCTGTTCAGAGTGAGGACATCCCAACAGGAAAAAAACACGTGTTTAGCTCCTTAGAGATGCTGAGGGCCTGGGCCCAGGAAAATGGACTAGATTAGACACTTGCAAAGAACTGGAGAGCTAATTTGGCTTCCAGCCTTGGACTAACTGAATGTGTGTGCCAGCCTGGCCCCCAAAGGTGACTACATGCTTGAGTGTACAAGAACAAGGGACTCTATTATGGCCTATACTGAGTTCTTCTAGTATTACACTTAAAACATGTGGATACAAAGATCAGCCCTGTGGCCCTGCATACCCACTAAGAAATCATACCCCACAGCCTGAAGAAGGTAGATTTTAGGGAAAATAAAGCCTAAGATGGTTACATTTTGGTGGTGTGATGGGGGTTCTGGTGGACATTAAATCCAGTTAGCAAGATTTCAGTTCAGGCTGACCTTGTTAGTCTCATTGTAAATAACTGATATAACCAAGACTGATGCTGGCCCGTGTTAGTAACTTAGATAACCAAGGGCATTACTGGCACTACTTTGTGTATTTTGGTATAAATGTGGACTGCTACAAGGGCTGGTGGGAGACTAAGTGGCTGAGCACTGCTGTGAGAACTAGGCGGGATAAGAGCATGAGAACAGCCAGCAAGTTATGTTCAGCTGAGCTAAGCAGCTGAAAACAAAGGCAAGTTCAGACATTTCCACTCTGTCTCTTCTTCGGGCTGCCCAGATTTCAAGTGAACCTCCTCAGTCTGACCTGGTGACAAGACAACTACATAGTAAATTCAAGGCCAACATAAACTACATAGCAAGATCCTGTCTCAGAAAACAAAACAAAATTTAAAAATCATAACAGTAAGTGTACCCCTTCCTTAGGTCTAGGAATACCACTTCAAGGAATTTGGCCTATAGATTACCTATAGGTTAAGTCGAACAATAATA